GACATTTAAGAAGAGTCTGCACAGGAAAACGGGATTCGGAGATTAGTTCCCCGTCGGCGTGACCCCGCCTCCCTCCCAACATCTCCGAGCCAGGAAGGGCTTCTGAGGACACACGGAAGGGGGACAAATGCGCAAGATCTCTGGAAGGGACGGCTCTGACCTGGAATCAAAGGCAGAGGAGTGCTGGGGGCGGGGGGCACTGCCTCTCGGGAGCCGGGGGTGGGGGGTGTGAACTGGGCAGCGTCCCTGGGGCATAGACTTCACAGTGAGGTCCCCAGGACAGAGATGTCCCCAGGACAGCAGACGTCCTGTCTGCAAAGCCGGAGCTGAGTGGGGAGGAGCTGTTCTGAGGGGCCGCGCGGACACCGACCAGCTACGTGGCCTGGCACGTGTGTGTGTGTGGGGGGGTGCATCTCTCTGCAGATGACACAGCACCCAGAGGAGTGGATGAGGAACCATCCTTGGAGCAGCTCCCCCCAACCTGCCCTGCACCCCAACATCAGACAGGACGATGAGCCTGCTGAGCCATCCCCTACGCAAGCCAGTATCTGCCTAACTGTCGCTATAAAGATATCTGGAAGCTACTGGAAACTTTGAGTCCTAAGACCGAAGTGTGTTCAAACTCCCCTGCTTTAATGTACGGAGTAGGTCGAGGATGACAGACGCTGGCAGACGTGGGCTGAGTCCGGATGGGAGCCCCCATCCCGGGGCAGCCATAAAACGTCGCTTCCTCAATCAGAAGGCCCGCAGGGCATGGCGTCTGTGTGTCCGGCCTGTGGCGGGAGGTGACATCATCTCAAAGCTGCCTGTCACCTTCCTGTGTCTCCACTCTCGAGGCACCGGGCGATTCTCACGCTCCCACCCACCAGCCTGTGCCGAGGCGCACACAGGGGACACGCCACGCCGAGCGAGTGTCACCCAGACGGGAGCCTCGATAATCACAATGTCAGGCTTCCCGCCGAGACGCAGATAATTAGAGGAGAACATTGCAGTGTTTCCCAGCCCCGGAGGAGGTGAGAAGCGCCTTCCAAAGGAGCCACCTGCCGGAGTGAAAACTCAGGTGATGGGAGACGTGCCCATCTGAGATCCTGAGACCAGAGCCAGGCGGTCTGGGAGGGTCAGAGAGAAGCGAAAAGACATTTCCCGGGCCCCACTGTGCTCCGGGCACCCGGCACGCACTTCCCAGCAGATGACGCGGACAGAGCCGCCATCGCTGTCACCTCACTGAACACCGCGCTGCAGACAGATGCTGCCCCACTGTCCTGCTGGGGAAACTGAGGCTCCCCCAGGTTCACCTAAGGCCACCGGCCAGCCGAGCATTGCGTGGCTCCAGGACCCAAGCCCCGGCCTTTCTGACTTGAAATCCTGGGTGTGTCCATCTCTCCCTCCATCTCACGCTCCCTAAGGCGGTTAAAGGGTTGATGATCTCTGGTCCTCGGCCGTCCTTACTTGGCAGTGGGTGAGGGGCTGCAGGGGCTCATTTCTACACAGATCCGCAGGGTGGCCACAGTGGCAGGTCCTGTGCGTGAATGAGGCTTCTGTCCTGATACCCATGTCCCCTTCCCCCGCCCCCTCCACCACCCTAACTCTCCTTGTGAGCTGAGCCCATTGCCACCGGTGATCACTGCTGACACGAGTCTTTAATGTGGCAAGTTGCGAACAGAGAGAAGCACTTTCTGAATTCTCCGTAACCGGCTCTGAAAACCCCTGTGATCCGCTGGCAGACGGAAAGTGAACCCACTAAGCAGGAGGCAGATTGGGGACAACATAGGGATGGAGCTCGAACCAGCTCTGCCCGCCTGTGTGACCTGGACCTTGTCTAATTAGCCTCTCGGGGTCTCGTGTCTAAAACATCGAACAAGGACACAAACGTCTACATCATAGATGTGGAGCCCTTCACGGCCGGCTGGAGCGTCGAAAGGCCCAGGCAGTGGCGGCCTCCAGCATCGTCACCGTGCTTCTGACCACAAGGACGCCGGCCTCTGAGTGGGTCTCTGGCCGCAGAGAGGACGCCTCCAGTTTCTGGGAGCAAAGCCCTGGGAAGTAGACAGTTTTCCCAGGAAAGGCCCGTGTGTAAAACTTCCTACCCGGTCCTCGTCCCGGGAAAATGAGCCGATCAGTTCTCTTGGGCCACTGGCTCCACCCTGCGGAGTCTGAGAGCTGCCCCTGCTAAGCTGGCCAGTGGCACACGGGGACCAGGCCGGGGAAAGAGGACGGCCAGGCTCACGCCACCACCAACCCAGAACCCGTGAGAGCTGTGGTCCGGCCAGGCTCATGCCACCACCAACCCAGAACCCGTGAGAGCTGTGGTCCGGCCAGGCTCACGCCACCACCAACCCTGAACCCGTGAGGACTGCGGTCCGGCCAGGCTCACGCCACCACCAACCCTGAACCCGTGAGGACTGCGGTCCGTGTCAAAGGAGACTGCAGATGGGACTGTCCTGGCCCGCCCGGGGGTGGGGTGAGGACCCTGGAGGTGTTGCCGAGGATGCAGTGATTAACATTATTAAATAGACGAGATGAATAATGTACTGACTGCATGACTGTTCACGCATTACCCAATGCCGGGCTGAAGGGGCCCCAGGGATCACTGAACACGCCCTCCCTCCATTTTCCAAGGGGGCCGTGTTTGGATGAGATCCCCTCCCGCATCCCTTTAAGCTCTACCTGTAACTTCCTCACGTACAAAGCAATGGCAGCGCCCTGTGGGGCCCATCAGCTCCTCGTGAAAAGAGATGAGAAGGAACTCGATTGCTACTTGATGCTCAATCCCCCTCAGATACAGAAAGGGAGCCACCGTCGTTGGCGGGCGGTTTTGGGGTGTTCATCGACCCCCTGAGGGCTATCTGTCCACAGCTCTAGAGCAGGAAAGAACCCCCCTTTAGAGAAACAGGTGTGAGGGGTGCAGGCAGTTCACCTGCTTCAGGGAGAAATGGTCGTGACTGCTGGAGGCCGCAGCTGTGAGCCCCCCTGCACACGGAGGGGTGCCCACGCTCCCCTCTCCTCCCCACCCCGCGCCCCTCTCCCGCCGCGGCT